AATATTTTATGTTATTAGAAACCCTAGCTAAGGCAATCAGACAAGAGAAACAAATCAGAGGGATCCAAATTTGATGCCCCCAAAAAAATTGGAAAAGAAGGACTCAAACTATCACTATTTACAGATGACATAATAATATACATAGAAGACCCTAAAGAGTCTACAAAAAAAATCTCCTAATAACAATAAACCAGTATAGCAATGTGTCCAGGTATAAAGTCAATTCACAAAAGTCAGTCGCATTATTAAATATACAAAGAATGAAGCAGAGGAAAAAGCAATCAAGAAATCCATCCCATTTAAGAGTATCCAGAAACATCAGGTATCTGGAGTCAGTTAAACAAAAGACATGGGAGATCTCTCCCGTGATAACTTTAATCACTTAAGAAAGAGATAAAGGCGGGGTGCAGTGCTGCCAGCCTGTCAACCTGTACCCTCCGGGCATGTTCATCAGAAGCCTAATGACACCATCAGGCTTCCTGATACCCCCAAATTGCCACTGTGCCTCTGGCCAGACCCCAACAACTCAGGACTAAGTTTCCAGAGAAATTGATCTGTAAATCTCCAAAAGTTAGGTTTGTAGGAGCCATGCCCACAAACCACCTCCAGCTCAGCCAAACAAGCTCATTTATGGGCCTTGATTCAGAGACCCATAAATAAATCTTGAAAGAGACCCAAAGTCACAATTAATCTCGGACCCGAGCAGAGCTGAACAAACTGGAGCAAATCAGATGGGGGGGAGGTCAGCCTGATGCCCACACAAGCAGAGCTCTCTTGCTTCCACAGTCCAAAATCACCACGATGACCCCAGCTGGACTCTATCACCTCGGGACATACCTCACTGAGATAAATTCTGCTGAAAATTCAGGTCTGCGGAAGGCAAATATAACTTCGAACATTCCAAAAGCGAACAAAGGAAAAAAAAAACCCACAGTCAATGTCATACTTCAAGAAAACATATTGTCAGTCAGACACAGGATACATGAGACTTACACATCAAGGAAACATTCCCATACCTCAAGACAGCAAGGCAAATCTCCAGGCTTTCTCAGGGTGTGTGTGTGTGGGGGGGTGGGGGGTGGGGGGAGGCTACCTTCCCCCACCTCCCTGTACTTCTGGAAACCTTGACAGTCACATCCACACCCAAAGCAGGCACACAGCTGAAAAAGCTATTCCAGCCTTACCTTCTCAATAAAAATACTGAACACTCTGAACACAAACACAATGACCTCTTAGTACCTGTACTGCAAACAATAATGCACAAAAGGAGAAACAGAAAGAAGAAAAATGCCTGCCACAGAGGCAGGCTGGGTAGGGGTAGGGAGGAGGGGGGAAAGAGAGTGTTTGGGGATGGCAGGAGTGAAACAGGGCACATTGGTGGTGGGAAATGTACACTGGTGAAGGGATGGGTATTGGATAACTGTATGACTGAACCCAATCATGAACAGCTCTGGAAAAATACCGCATGCCACGAATTGGAACAATCAAGATTACTATCCTATCTATTATAAAGATTCAATACAATCCCCATCCAGATTTAGATAACATTCTTCCAGAATCTAGAAAAATTAGTAATAAAATCTGCATGGTCTCCGAAAAAACTGTGACTAGTCAGAACTATAATGAAAAATAATAAATTGGGGGTATTTCATAGCTTAATTTGGAACTATATTATAAAGCTATAGTGATCAAAACTGCATGGTATTGGAATAAAGATGCACCCTCTGATCAATGGGTCAAAATCGAATACCCTGTGACAAAAGCCCATATATATGGGCAGTTAATTTTCAATAAAGGAACTGAGAACATAAAATGGTGTAAAGATAGCTTTTTCAACAATGGTTAAAAGTTGGATAACTACATGTGAGAAAGTAAAGCTGGATCCATACCTTTCACCTCACACAAAAGTCAATTCAAAGCAGATCACAGACGTTGAGATTCAATCAGAAACTATAAAGTATAATGAAAAATATGGGCAAAAAACTTCAAGATTTGGACCTTAAAGGTGCCTTCAGTGATCTGATATCAAAGGCAACTACAACAAAAATAAACAAATGTAACAACATAAAGTTAAAGAACTTTGGCATAGCAAATTAAACACACAAAAACATGGGTTAAAACTAAAAGGCAGCTAACCGAATGGGGAAAAAATATTTGCAGTCAACACATCAAATAAAGGCTTGAGATACAGGATATATAAAATACTCTTAAAGATCAGCAAAAAGAAACTCAAAAAACCCTATCAACAACAAATGGGGAGAGGAAATGAGTAGACACTTCTCAAAGGAAGACAGGCAGATGGCTAGTAGGCACATGAAAAAACGCTCAGCCTCACTTATCATCAGATAAATCCAAATCAAGACGACAATGAGATACCATCTCACACCAGTGAGAAAGGCACATATCAAAAATAGTAGGAACAATCTGTGTTGGTGGGAATGTGGTGAAAAAGGAACTCTTATCCAATGCTTGTGGGAATGTTGTCTGGTACAAGCCCAGCGGAAAACAGTATAGAGAGTTCTCAGTAAACTTAGAGTTGAACTGCCATGACCCAGCAATTCCACTTTTGGGCATCTATCCCCAGGATATGAAAACACTCTCTCAAGAGGACATATGCATACCATTATTCATCACTGCACTCAGTACAATAGCTAAGATCTGGAATCAATCCCAGTGTCCAGTGACAGATGAATGGATTACAAAGATGTGGTATAAACATACAATGGAATACTATGCAGCAGCAAGGAACAATGAAATCATGTAATTCACTACAACGTGGTTGAAACTGGAAGGTACCATGTTGTGTGAAGTGATCTCACTTATCTGTAGAACACAGAATACTGGATGAGGAAATGTACTGTAATAAATGAGGGATGCTTAAATAATGCTCGACCCCATTGTTAGAGAAGAGACAGAGAAGGACAGAAATCGGGGGGTGGGGGGGGGAAGAAGACAAGAAAAAGTAATGGGTTAACAGGCATCAGGCCACCGTGATATGTGTGTCGCTGTCACTGTCCTCCCGTTGTTCATCAATTTGCTCGAGCAGGCCCAGTAACGTCTCCATTGTGACAATTGTTACTGTGTCTGGCATATGGAATACATCACGGGTAGCTTGCCAGGCTTTGCTCTGCGGGCAAGATACTCGTGGTAGCATGAGTGAAGGGTATAGTCATACACTCAAAACGAAACCAAAAACATGAGATCTAAGCGGCTACTAGTGAAACACTGTAAATAAGCCTGTCAAGTTGATAGTTTGGGGGTGGTGTGGGGGTTGGAATGGGAAGGGAATCTGGGAACACTGGTGGAGGGAAGTTGATGCTGGTGGAGGGATTGGTGTAGAATTATTGAATGCCTAGAACACAACTATCAATAACTTTGTAAACCATGGTTCTTTAATAAAAATTTAAGGGGGCTGGAGTGATGGCACAGTGGGCAGGGAGTTTGCCTTGCACGCGGCTGACCCGGGTTCAATTCCCAGCATCCCATATGGTCCCCTGAGCACAGCCAGGAGTAACTCCTGAGTGCAGAGCCAGGAGTAACCCCTGTGCGTCGCCAGGTGTGACCCAAAAAGCAAAATAAAAAAAAAAATTAAAAATAAATAAATAAATAACATGTTAGACCCAGGAAAATAGTAAGCAGATGTGGCTGGCAACAACCTAGAGCTGCCTTTTTATACTCCTTTTGCTTTTTGAGTACTTTTAAACTGTGTTGGCTACCAAACCTAGGTTTATCCCAAATAAATGAGGGCATTACTTACTATGACATGAAGAAAAGACCTAACTAGCCTACTTCCACAAACACTGTGAAATATTCCATCTTTCAGGCCTGCCTCGTTTGAGTACAGTAATATACTTGACTGCACCTTCCTGGACATAAACATACTTTATTGCTTCAATGAAACATACTCATGGTACTTACTACATATAAAGGCGTCCTCTAAGATCTGTCCCTACCAAGTAGAGGCCTGAGGCATAATGTATGGATAGTTTCATCACTCAATTCTTCATTAAGATACAATTCATGCAGATCAAAACATGGTCACAAAAGTAATACACTTTAATTGTAAAACTGAAAACCAGACATTTCTTAAAAACAAAATTAAGTGTTGTCAGTTTGCTAATATTGCTGGTAAATTACAGTTTTATAAAGAAAAAACTTTTCTAAACTTGTTACGAGTGGTCAATAGTACTCATTTATTTAGATTTAGGGCCATACTCAGAGGTGCTCAGAGATTACTCCTAGTGATGCTTGGGGATCATATGAGAAGCCAGGGATCAAATCAGATTGGTTATGTGCAGGGCAAGCACCTTAAAACCTGAATTCTAAAAGAATTTTAACCCTCAAACCATTTTAATTATTTTAGAATTCTTATGTGAACCAGTTTCTCATAATGCAAATACCAAGGAAATATTTAGATAATTTTGTATTGATTAGTCTGGAAGCCTATTGACTATGTTTATTTAATCCAGAAATACCATTCTTAGCCACCTACATAAAATTCAGGACACCACTGAGTAACCTACCTTTCAATTAGCTGAACACCCTCAGAAAAGACTGGCACATACGAACTTAAATGTTCTGTTACTATCTAGGAAAACTGTGGTCTTGGTAACACTTGTAGGCAATGGAGTCAGGTAATGTTACTTGGTTAAGTCAAAAATATTTATGTTTAAACAACAAAAATCTCAGCTTTAAATGACAAGCATGTAACACTAGATTAAACACCAACCATTCTTAATCATGGTTTAAATATGATAATCAAAATTTTAAAAAAATTAAATGTCCTGCAAAAATGCATCTCATAAACTGATTCAAAACTTTATGTTTCAAACTTTTTGATAATGCCAGTAAGACCCCCCAGGAAAAGAGAATGCTGCAATGGTACTGGGAATGTCAGTGTTTTCAATAGACAGGTTATTAAGAATGGTATGGTTTTCTATTTTTCCCTAGCAGTTTCATCAACTTTTTTTTTCAAGTAAAGTTTAAAAATCTGACACTACCTGTCCACATAGAAGGGGAAGCAAAACTTGGTCAAGGTCTGTAGAACTTCCTGTGGAGAGAAAGAGAGAGAATTTACACATCTAATGGGACCAATAAATCTAACATTAAGCACAGCAAACAATCAGGCAACTTCATCCTAAAGAATGGGGAGACAGATGAAGAAATATGGGCTTTATCAATTACATGGGAGGAGTACCAGGCAGTCAATCATGAGGAATAATAAACATGATCAAACTTCATTAAAAATGAAAAATTAATCAAGAATCACACATGGGCAAGCAGCGGGAGCCGAGCAGGAAGGCTCCAAGGGGCGGGAGGTGGCAGGGCTGCCGAGTGTTAACACCCCTCTAGGGACCGTCTCCAGCCTGACCATATGGATCAGAGTGAATAACACCGAGCCACATGGGTTTGGCCTGGCAGGGCCGCTGTTGCTGGCACCGGTTTCGCCTGTTACCTAGGAACAGAGGGGGCCAGGATTAGACAAGGCTTCCCGACTTCAATAGGCCAAATCATAAGCCGAATAAAAAGCCAACTTGAAGATGACTGTCCCTGGACGTTATCAACCACATTGTTTCAAGAGTTTCAAACTTCATTTACTTGCTTTAAAAGAGATTGCCATTTCTGGCATAAATTCATTTTGTGACCAAATTACGCAGTTTTAAGGAACACTATTTTTAGTTAAATGCCATTCTCATAACCGGACACACTTACCTGCTTGTATTTTATGACAATCCAAAGCAAACTACAACAGTGCGTGTCTTTTTATAAATATGTGAGTACACACAACATGTACATTATTCAAGAGAAGTATACACAAGAGTATGACAAAAAGCAGAGTGACAGTTCAAAGAATTATTCAGAATACAACTTTCTTAAATTAAGAAAATTAATACATACAGCACAATCTAACTGTGATGATGTTTTCCTAATAGACACGTTTCATTAGGAATGAAACATATAGACACAAAGCTAAACACATACACAATAAATTCACAAACAATAATTGTTTCCTTCACAGAAATACCCTCTAACTTGACTTCCTTTAATCGCACATTTCCCACAGTTACTGCCTCTCATAAGTTCAAGACCGATGTTATAACTTTTGTTTAAGTGTCCTTTCCTGCATTTAACTACTGAAAAATCTCAACTTCAAGACAAAAATGAAGAACACACTTTTTTGTCACTGAGAAGCTGGTTCGAATTAAAACAAACCTGCACGTTGCAAGTCCTCATTCAAGTGATAAATTAAAGATCAGTTTACAAATGTAGCACTTTCTCTAACCAATAATAATGAATTATCAATGCTAACTGAATGGATGCTTCTCGCTTCATTTATTTTTAAAACCAGTTCTATCATTCAAGAAATAAACCACATCAATCTAATAACCCATTCAATGAAGCAGAAAACACATTGACTTGCTCTGGCAGAGCATATCCTGCCTACATAATTCAATTGGGCATATCCTAGGTTTTAATATTGGTCTGGACTGGAACTATGTATATCACAGCCCTGTTAAGGCATGTCATGAATGAGCACATGAGCAGGATGCTAAAAACTGAAAGAGTGGATAAGAATACCTCCACATTTTCCAAGAGGCATTACCAATACACTAATGTCCTCATGTGGCACTCAAAACTCCGTATCATCTTTTAAAATTTAAATATTTTAAAATATTTCAACAAACTGCACTAGCTGATAAACAGAAGCAAAAACATAAGCAACTTATCGGAACAGAGTGTTATTATGAGGCAAATAATGGGAGAGAGATCATAGAAGTCATTTTAATAATGTCTGCATTTTAACTATAAAATGTACTCTAACTCACATACACAACTCTCATGACTTACATGCTTCACCCTGCCCGAAAAAAAATTCTCACAAATTTCCATTTACTTCAAGCTTCCAATACCACCAAGCTTCTCTTGAGCTCTGTATATAAACGAACCAAACATTCTTTGAAACCCAGTACCAGCTGCTCCCTCTCTGGCCACATGAGTTGCAAAGACAGCTTTCCTTTGCCCCTCTGAGTTACAGGTGTAGAAATGCTTCTCTTGTCTGTGTTGGAGTGGAACTGCCAAAAGACCTCAAAATTTTTTTAGAGAAAGGACCCCCATGGCTATGAAAAAGCATTGTGCTCTAAAGCAGAGTCAAAGGCATCTAATATGCCCAACTTATTACTCACTACACTATAGCAACTAGCTATCAGTTTTCAATGTCAAAAGTAATAACCAACCATGAACTTGCCTGTCAGATACTATTAGAACAAACATCAAAACACCCAACTTAAGTTGAGTACAACTCCCTTCCCAGGAGCCTACCTTCTTACCCAAGAAAAGAGTGGTAAGTCTAATTAAGCAAGGGGGAGGAGGAAGGGAGGAGAAGGAGGAGGAAAAAGAGGCAAACATAGGTCCGTGTTTGTGCATTACAATCTGTTTCTTCATGTTTGCAATATTAGAAGAGCTTAATATTCCAATTTTAGTCAAACAAGACAGTGAAGCGCTGTCAGAGAAGAAGACCAAAATGAGCATCTACTCAGTGGTAGGTATATTCACACATTATCTCAACCACAACTAAAAAAAAAAATCAATTCTGGAAGAAAAAAAATGACTTCTTAGTTTGGGAAGTAGAGAACAAAAGAAAAAAAAGAAGAAGAAGGGAAAATGGAGCAGAGCTTCTCATACATAAAAGTTGCTGAAATAAAACCAAATGTCTTCATGCTGGTATTTTCCCGATGTACAAACATTTAACTACCTTTCCAAAGAAAAACCACCACTAACTGAATATGAAAGGTAACCAGCTCCAGGAGAAGGGGCTTGCAAATGCTGATTTACATATGCTTAAAGCATTCTATTGATAGCAGGCTGCTTCAATATTAACTTTTGCTGAAAGAAAAAGTGCATTAACAACCCCCTGTTTTTTTCTTCCTGGAACCTATAGTTTTGGCAAGGGAACTAACTTCCTTGGAGATAGTAATTTTCCTGTTTTACTCCCCTCTTTCTCTAGCCTACACAAGCTCTCTCAGGCAACCAACCTCAGCCACTGCCATATAAATCAGATCTTCAAGATACAGTGCAGCTGATGAAATGCAAATGATCTCATTGCTAAGGCAGGAGGTGGGGGAGCTCCTGCCAGCTCTCCAGATCAATTCCCAAGTTTATATTTTCACAAATCTCTTTATGTACAGTTTGATTTTTTTTAACATTTTAATGAGCAAAAATAAAATAGAATTACAACGTGAATCTAGAGAAGCAAGTCGCCGCAGTTAAAGTGCAGGGCATGAACTGGGTCCCAGGAGGAAATCAGTCCACCATGTCACCACTGGCTTTAGGACATTCGCCACCTGGTTCCAGGTCCCCAGGTTCCAACTCCTTTCATAATCAAAATGCTGCTGACATTATAAACCCCAGACGGTTTTCTAAAATCCCTCCCAATCAATAGATTCACCACATAACTTATTGGAGACAACACTGAGCTCATTGATTAAGGTGAGTTCAGGAGCAAAGTTTTCAAAATAAATGAGACAAGCATACAGCATTCAACCCCTTTGTGTCACCAGGCAATTTATGAAATAGGCAGTTTCCAAAAGGGCCTTCCTTGATAGCAAAATACATACTTCATGTGGGAAGAAGGAGTGCATAGGAGGCAGGGGGAGCACAAGGGAAGATGGCGGCATAACCCTTTGGGCTGTGCATGTATTAAACAGCAGACTGCACCATGTAGGGGAATCAAATGCAACATCTACAACAATCTGCCTACAAGGAAACACTGAGTGCCAGAGAGGAAGCAAAATAGGAGACCACACCATCTCGTGCTGCATTTTCTTGCAAATAAAAATCTAAGGGACAGAGAGATAGCACAGTGGGTAGGGTGTTTGCCTTGTATTGTGGCTGACCTGGGTTCAACCCCTGCACCTACACCTGGTCCCCAGAGCCCTGCCAGGAGTGAGGTGTGATCCCTTTATTCCTGGCTCTACAAGCCAGGTATGCTTCCTCCTACCCCACACACGTGACACACACACACACACACACACACACACAAAACACACACACAATCACAAGTGAATTCAAGGTTCATGTCTCCATTGTCTTTGGATTCCTTTTACCCAGTGTGAATTCCCAGTGAGCTTAGAAGGCCCATCAGAAGAATACACTCCAATCTTAGAAAAGAAAAGGTAGAGAGTGCTCTGCTAAAATGGAACCCTTTCCTTAAAAACCTGGTCATATTTTTTGAATTTACCGTATTAGTAGCAATAGATTGCAATCGAGAAGCAAAACATGGAAGAGTAAAGGCATTGCAATTAACTGGAATTATTAATGATGAGAAGGCTAAACCAATTCACCCTAAATTTAGGATGCAGGCTCGGGGAGTAGAAGAGATCCCACAATCGCCATGGGTTCAGATGTCAAAGACTTTGTTTTCATTGCTGCACTGAAACCTGTAAACAAAAATTAGTTGTATTTGGCAGATGAAAATAACTGACAGTCAGATGCAGACCTCCACTGCCCGCGCCCCCCCCTCCCCCCCAGAAATCAGTGCCATCTGAAAGACAAAAGCGCAGGCTGATTATAATGTCCACTGGGGTTACCGAACATTGGGCAAAGAGGCATGTTCTTAATAGTTCAAAAGAAAACAAAAATGTGTGCAGGAAAACATTTAAGTAAAGGAAAGATCAGCTCTGGCCTGAATGAATGTGTGTGTTTTAAGATATGTTCAGCCTCTTTGTACCTTGCTGGGAAAGCCCGTGCAATCTACCTTTGTCCAAGGAGAGGGAAGGAGGGGGAGTGGGGGGGGGGAACACTGAGAGAATGTTTTTCTGGGTTTCTTGTACCTCATTTATTTGTTCATTTCAAAATATAGATGTGTGATGTAAAGATCAGGGGCACTCAGGCGCCCAAAACCCTCGATTGCAGCATTTAAAACATCCTCAGAGCATGAGGGAAATGCTGACCGTCTAGTCCTGCCGCTGAGATCACTGCAGCGGACGTGAAAGAAAAGCCTTTGATGGATGATCTTGAAATTCCAATTCAAACGTTAAAAAACAGAACGCG